TTTATTTGGAAGCTTCAAATAAAAAGGGTCACTACTCAACACTGTTCTACAGGAAAGAGCCAGAATCAAATTTACAGTTACTCTGATCAAGTTTGTCTAACAGGAAAGAAAAAACAAAATGGTTATATACTGTACTCAGATGTCTTAAAGGCTGATTTATATTTCTGCATTGAGAGATCAGCATGACCCACGGTGCATGCCTTGCGCGTAGTCATGCTTTTATACTTCTGCGTGTTGTCCGTGTTGCTCTGCAATAACACTTCTAAAACGCTAGGTAGCAGGACACATGTTCCTCTGTGTCGAGTTTCTTTGCGGGTGTTTTGTTTTTTCAGAATGCTACCTTAATGTACAAGTGGCTCAAACTCGCTCATTCAGAGACGGCAGACGTGCAACAACTTTAATCAAAATTAAAACCAAAACGACAGTTTCAATCTAGAGTTCCTTCACGGGATGCAACACTTATAAACATTCGCTCCATCGGGCTCACGGCACAGCCCACACCCATCACATCAACCAAGCTGACCAATCACAAAACTTGCGATACGCATTGTTCCTGATGTGCAGTTTGACAGATGTGCATCAGCCACATCGAGGGCTATGTGCGCTTGATGCAAATGTATAAATCAGCCTTAAGGGTGAGTATATGAGGTAATTTAAACCCAGGCTCACTGTGGAAATGTACCCAGGTCTATATTCCTAGGGACTGTGTACGCTTTTTGCAGAGGGTGCAATATACGCATAATTATATATATATATATATATATATATACATATATATACATATATACATAATTATATATATATATATATATATACACACAGTATTATATAAACAGGCCAACTTATATCCAACTAATATTAAGCCATCAAAGCCATAAATTGAAGTAGACCAAAAGATCCTCAAAACCTAGACATAATATATATAAATATATATACATACAACATTTAGCTTAAAATGAAATTATAAATAATGAACATATACTTAACATAAAGAAATGAGCATAAAGAAAAATATAGAGATATTTTTAGAAATGCTGTGAGTTTTAAACACCTCCAACCATGGGAGACACCTTTTGTGAAGACAATTTTAATTGATTTGATTGATTAAATTGATCTTGACAGGTTTCTCAGTCAAGAAATTAATTGAATAGCATATGCCTGACAAAGTGAAGTAGACCAAAAGATCCCCAAAAGCTAGACATACTGCAGAGATCCAAAGAAATTAAATCTAATGTAAAATATCAACATGTTTGCTGTGGCCTCAATCTGGTTTTGGTCATTAAAGGCACAGAATGTAATTTTTACACACAGCACACATGTACACTAATAAAAATGACTCCTTAATATGTATATTTTTATAGTCTATCTGTAAAACCAGACAACATTATCAAATGAAATAAGTGTAGTCAACTCAAAATTGACTGAAAGCTAATTTTACTCATTTGAAAAGAGTTTTGAACTCAATGTTGAAGGTAATGAGCTAATTAAATACCTCATTACTTTAACTTAAATGGAGTAAGTTCACTGTACTCATATAGATTAGTTTTTTAACTCAAACAGTTTGTAGCAATCGGTTTCCTTAAACGGTCTCAGTTGCCTTAACTTATTGGGTTTTACAGTGATCAAATTGCTTCGTTTAATCAAATAGATTAGGTTCACAGTACTCATTAGGAGTAGTTTTTAAACTTAAACGGCTTGTTGTAATCGGTTTCCTCAAATAGTTTGAGTAACCTTAACTTTTTGGGTTTTACAATGTAGTAAAAACTGCTTATGTCTCTGCATTTGAACATTGTTGGAAACATTTGGGATAAAGAATGTACAGTATAAGTGAAAAAATGTAGTTTTTTGCATATCTTCATTAACTAATCTTACATATCATGCATTTATTTTTTCTAAATAGTAATAATATTCTACATTTGCCCTAATAAATAAAGAACAGTAAACAAAACAAAAAAAAAGAAAGAAAGAAATGAAGAAAAACATGTAGAGATATTTTTAGAAATCCTGTGAGAACACTTACAACCATGGCAAACACATTTTGTAAAGACTAACCAGCTAACCCTACTGTGGTCTTAAAACAATGCAAATATAATGTGTGTGCGTGTGTGCCTGTGCATGTGCATACAAACCTAAATCCAATCTAAAATATCAACATGTTTGGCCTCATTCTGGTTTTGGTAATTTTCCATAAACTACTTTTATCAACACAACATCTTTTATATCTCACTTTATGGTCTACATAAAAGAGAAATTTCCCAGTGTGCTATTCTAACACATAGCACACGCTCTGCAAA